TGATAATTTGATGAAACACTTTTTTTTATTTTTAGAATATGCATCATGTAACATCAACTTAAAATGCCTCAAGATTAAGTCAAATGCAGGAGCCACTATTGCAGTTTTTATTGTGTTTAGTGGTTAACATCTCAAGCAATTAATCAAATTACCAGAAAATAATTGATGCATAGACAATCTGTGGCCATCGGGGGACTATGGGGGTCTGGAGCCCCAGAGCAGCTACCTGCTTTAGAGATTGTTTTGTGAACATCTGTTTCCAAGGTCAAGAATGAACTATCAAGCTCAACTTCTAAGCACAAGGAGCCACGCCGAACGAGCAAACTTCACCTCCCATTGAAGACCATGTGAAAGCTCACTTAAGACATGTGAGTGTTTTTATAAAACCATCATGCTGTAACTCTTCCTGTTGACTTTGACCATAATTTCATGCTGCTAAGAGAGTCATTTATTTGGTATTGCAGTGAACATTACATATAGTAACAGTGTTTGCTATCAGGTCATTATAAATTAATTGGTCAACAAATACAAGCAGGAGAACAAAGGAGGAAATTAGCAATGTGAACTTCACTGAGACACTCTGTTAATGTCACAACAGTTATAAAGTTTATTTACTCTGATGACTAATTACAATATTGTATAGTAATAAATAGTGGATGCCACAGTAATTAGACCAGTGGTGTATTTAGACTAGAAAACTCCTGTAGCTGTCTCCGCTCCAGTGTGGAGTGTATATCAGGCAGACAGGTAGCTACTTTTTTGGGATTTGGAGACACCTGGCACCCACCAGGGCCAACCATGATAATGCATGCTGTCTAAGACATGCCAACTCCATTTTAAGACTCAAGCTGTGACTGTGCTTCTATTCAGATGAGCCTTGATGAAATTGTTTGCAGAGGTGTGATGGACAGTTGAGGTAATTATTCTGCTTGAGGTATGATGATTAGGCATTGTGGTTGAACACTCATACACTCAGTATTTTGTTGAGTTGTTTTGATGCGTGATGCGCCTCCTGCCAGCTAGGTAGAGATGTGCTAGACAGCCTATTCTCACACCAACTTTACTTGTTGTGACGGCTGCCATGCTGCCATTAACTATGGTCAATCAATAGATCTTGGTTTTAAACTTTTTAAAGAGTTCTTTCCAACTTTTCCTCAAACCTTTTCTCACTTTATTTTCTCGCTGTCCAGCTTTCTGAAAGACCAAGAAGTACTAATTATCATCATGATGCACCTTTCACTTGCACCCTGCTTTTTCTAAAAAGTTCTGCACTTTCTCGTTGATTTAAGTGAACATCATCCTCCCAGAAAAATAATTTTCACCTCCTTTTTTGTGTTTCCGTTTTATTTTTGTACCTCCTTTCAACCTTTATGATCAAGCAATAACAAAATTTTAATTTAAAGTGAAAGCCTGACAAAGGCAAAAGAGCTTTGGTTGGTGATTAAAATTAATTAAAATGTCTAACTTCTAACCTCTTAAAGGCTTTGGTTTTACACAGACTAGGAAGACAGAAGAAGTGAACTGCCATATAGTAACAATTCACAAACCACCCAGTTTTTTAGCTGGAGGCTGTCCTCCAGGAGGCTAGTGTGTATTACATCCAGTACTTGCAGTCTCCTGCTGTGGCCTCCAGGCTTCAGTTCCTGCTATCTGTAAGAAGCAATATTGGATATATTATAACATTTATTATAACATCACTTTTACTTTGAGCTATTACTCAAAACAATCCCTATGTGTCACAAACCCTTGGCTGGAAAAGAAGTCAAAAATTCTCAGCATTACACATCTCAGCATTTTTGTGTATTTGCACAACCAGGTCAGGTGTGTACCTATTATCCTGACTCGGTTTTATAAGATAAAACTGCAGCTGCAGACTTTTTGTGAGATAGCAATTTGACTATGAAGCAAGCCTCATGCAAGTTCAGATGTACAGTGGCCACATATCAATTTGCATATTTGAGGCATTCCAGTGATTTACAGCGTAGAAGCAATTAAACTAAAGGATGTCTTGAGGGTCCCCACCTGGTTTGAACCCAAACAACCCTTTGATCTCTGTTAAGTGGCTGCATTCATATTGTCAGACCTTATCTGAATGGATTTCAATTATTTCTGAATTCATGCAGCATCACCAAAAGAGTTGGGGAGCAGCAGCAATCACTGCAGGATCTTGGATAAGTTGGGTAACTGTGGATCTCTCAGGATGTGTGTCGTAACACTGCCCCCTCATGGCCGCAATGGAAAAGCATTTACAGTGCATCATCTGTGTTTGTGTGCTCATAACCACACACTTTCAGGGGTCAGTACCATTTTTCTTGTCTTGCAGTTGTTGCACCTGCAGGCAAACACAGAAGACATGAACTTCTTCCAGCTCTCTCATCCATGTAAACGTGTTTTATGTTCACCTTGGTTGCCCATCTGCTGTGAGCAAATATTCAATCAAACATATGGCAGCAGCAGAGCAAAAATAAAGTCACCTAGTGCGGTGTAGATTAATCAAACCTTTGAATGCCTCTAGATTAACAAGATTATGTTTTATGTCGCCTGATCGAGCAGCCAGAGACATTTTTTTTTCCACGTTCTAAAATTCATCCTCCCCTGCTCCTCACTTATAGCATCATATTTCGGGAGCATTAAAATGGAGCACGTGAATGCCGAGTTGTTGACAAGTTTCTTCACACAGAGACATCAAATCGCTCTAAAAGTATCAAGATAAAGTTATGACTCCCACACGTCCACTCAATATTTTTTATCGCCGCTGAAATGAAATGGTAGCCACTCGCCTCGTGCTGCCATGTATGATTGCATTTTGTGATTTGAACTGCTGGTGGGAACAACAACAGGGAATATTTAGCTGAATATAGTGGCTTACAATTCAAAAAACTAACAATAACTGCACAGAGATACAAGATTTCATTGTTTATTCCAACATTACAGAGTCGATGATAAGTCGGGCTCTTATCATCGTTACATTGTTAGAATAAACATTTAAGTTTGATATCTGCAGCCTCTATTTGAATAATTAATTCTTGCTCTCTAATCTAATGATTGAGCATAAGTGCCTTTCTTTTTAACTCCTTTTACACAAGACCATGACTGGAATATTATGTGTATTTTATTTTAGCAGATGCAGCATTAGAGGCTGAGCCAAGAAAGCAACCCATTTGAAATCCAGAGCACCTACACAGTCTATTATATCCTTTGGCACCAGAATGGGGACTGTGTGTTTATTGCACATGTTCCGTGACAACAAAGAGCCAAAGAGGCAGTGGAGGAGAGAGTATAAAGACGTGGAAAGAGTCTCGACAGCCTTGAATCAAGATGCTCTGAGTGGTCCTCACGTCGTTGTTGATGTTGACTGTCGACACGTAGCTGTTCGTCTCCTTCTGTCTCAGTCTGGGCTTCACCGCCTGGCTGCGGCACGCTAGCTGCAATCAAACAGGCCTTTTAAGTCAGGTCTTTGTTCTTTTGCAATGGAGAATTTCAGTTTAATTAACCAAGAATTTAAGTCCAAACCCATAAAAAGAAAGGTTTGTGTAGGAGAGAGAAAGATGAATACCGCTTTCAACAGAACGCATTAAAGGAAAGAAAGACTTGAATCTGTTTGTAACACATCATTTTTTAAACCGATCTAGGATCTTGATTTCATGATATTATTGTACTCAGCAATTTCAGAAATTTCAATGCTGAGATCTAGGTAATACTGTGACATCGCTAAAACCTAGTTCAACAGGGCAAGATGCATGAGCGGTCCGATGATTGTACAGATTTGAACAAAACTAAGAGTCTGCAGCCATGCTAGCAGCTCTGTGCAGGCTGTGCTTAAGCAGAGCTGTGAGCTAATCAGTATGCTAACATGCTCACAATGACAATGCTAATGGTATCATGTTTACCACATTTACCATCTTATTTTAGTGTGTTAGCGTGCTAATATTTGCTAATTAGCACTAAACACAAAGTACAGCTGGGGCTGATGGGAATATCATTACCTAAATCATGACCTCATGGTGGTGCTAGATGAAAGTCAAAAGGATCACCAAGTCAAGTTATTAGAATTCATCCTGAGGGGGGATGTGTATGTAAAAAAAAAATAAATAAATAAAATGGCAATCCAGTTGTTGAGACATTTCAGTCAAAACCACAAATGTCATCTGGATCTCATGATTCTGCGAGTGGACCACAGTTAATAGGATTCCTCTGGTGTCTGTACCAAGTTTTTGACAATCCATCCAATAGTTGCTGAGATATTTGAGTCTGGACAACAGTGGTGGACTGGTGAACGCTTCAATTATTACCATACTTACCAAGTTGTATATTCACAGTTCCCATGTGCAATGAGGGGTTATTAACAACATTTTGGATGCAGTCACTTTCTATTTTACCTTTTAAAAATCTAACTGCTGGCTTGTTTACAGTCTGTCAAATCATCTGACTGCTCGTTTCTTGCTCTCTCTGACTTCATTGTAGCAAAGTTTTCGTGTTCCCAGATCCTTAGCAGTTAACATGGTGGTTTTGTCAGAACTAATAGACATCATGGCCAAAAACATTAATTACCCAAGTTGGAGGAAACTGGAATTACTCATTAAGTAGATTAGGATGCTTGATCAAGCAAGAGGCTTTAGACTTTTCTAAGGAGACCATCCATCTCTTGTACTAGAACAGGTTTGGTCTGGCTCATAGGATGCCATCATGCTCAGTCAATCCATCGGCAAGTCAGTCAGCAACTCATCCGGTTAGTCAGTTATCCAGTCAGTTGGAGAGTCACTCAGTAACTGAACCAGTCAGCCAGTCAGCCAGTCAAGCTGTCAGCCAGTAGCTGAGACAAAAGTCCAGCCAAGAGGGCAGGCACTACCCAAAATCCTGATGATTTCCAGATGAGAGCCCAGACAGCCTGGCCTGAGTGGAGAACACACACACACAGAGGGAAAAAATAAAAAGAGAGAGGGAGAGAGGACGGAAGGAGGGAGGAGGCAACAGAAAAATAATGACAGTGAATAAAGGAATGATCCTGCATATGAAAGTAGTGCGTGTGAAATGCCAAAACTCAACAGTCTGAGTATTTTCATCCACCGTTGTGATGTTCATTTGTGTGTGTGTTGAGTTGCGTGAGGAGATCTGTGTGTGAGGATAATCAACATGACGCAGTGCTGGGCTCCACTCATCGTTGTTTACCTGTCCATCTACCTGGCAGCCACTCAGCACTACAGGAAAGGTAAGTGGACCTGCTCCATGAATACATTATACCTATATCGTCTTTATTAGGCCACCATGTCAACATCGTATAAAAAGCTGATTTGAATGATCTCTATACACAAACTGCAATGATTAGCACCCTCATTTCAAATATACAAGCCTATTAGAAAATAGAAATCTTGGTTTGCTCCTACATGTGTGTCTGTGAAAGAATGTGTCTGTGAAAGAATGTGTTTGTTTTCCGGAGATATTAGGATCATTGGGACATGCAGGACATCAACAGATCATTTTCCAGTGAAAAGTGACTGGCCTGTTGTTACTGGATCCACTCACTGAGGAAATTCCTTTCTCAAGACTCGCATAACTCACAATCTCTGGATAAGTCACATGATGCTAAAAATGGCTACAAGGGAGAAAAATACTGTGACTAATGTTTTGTTTTTTAAAAGCTTTCTCCCCTCTTCCAGGCATCAAAGCATTTTCTTTCACAAGCTGTAAACACAGCATTGACATATCATCATCTTACTGTATTTTACTTTTATAACAAATATGATTTGTACATTTGTCATACACATCCAGCAGACGCAGAACAACATTAGTGTGTGAGCACTTTGTGGTATTGGCTACCTTTTAGCTCTGTTTTTGGTCTCTACCAACTCTTGAGAGCAATATCTGGCTCTTTAACTGCTAAATGCTGCACTATGCGCGCCAGCTAGTTAACTAACATGGTCTGTCTGCCATTTGGAGCTGGGCGAGTAGCATACTGTGGATTTCTAACAAAAAACAGCTGCCTGCTGAGGTTAATGAGAGCAGTGAAATTGAATCAAAACAGTAAAGTTGCGAGCAGCAAAACCAAAACTGAAAACTGAAAGAAGCTAAAACACAGTCTGGTAATAATTCTTACTTGGTTTATCATTATACAAATTAATTTGACCTATAGAAAATATATAAACGCTAAAACACAGCTTTTTAATTATTATTATTTTTTTTTATCTTTTTTGACCATTGACAGCTGTAAAAAGTCTAAAAAAGGTATTTGTATTAAAAACTTAAAATTGCGTAATAAATGGAAACAACTTTCAAAACAAATTTCTTGGAGAAGATGGATTGTAAGGGAGAAAAAGTAAAGTACAGTGTAAAGCAGAATACATGCATACTAAAACTTTCACCTGTTTTATTATTTAAGCAGATCAACCCGCAAAATAAGTGTGGGTGTGAAAGGGATAAGCTTGTGGAGAGTACAATGATCCACTCTGGGTCATTGTGGAGGCCAGTATTTGGTGAGTGGAAGCTGGCCCCTTCTCCACTGTTCCCAATCATCACTAGTGGCCCCAGTATTCTAACATCCAGTGTCAAATCCTCTCTTATCTTCCCTGGCGATGCAGTGTGACCTTATTGCAGCTTAGCCTCTGATTTGTCTCGCAGTGGGAGTGTTGAATGAGGAAGTCTGTGTTTACATTGCAAAAGGGTACATTTTGTATCTGAGTTGCTACAAAAAGTGCAGTTTGTTTATTTCTTTTACATAATTTTGAGGTGAATTGAAATGCTAAGCACAGGATGGGCCACTGCGACAAAGATTTTATTCTCTCCCGTGTCCTTTTAACTCTCTTTTACCGTAAGCCGGAGGGATCCAGATTTTGTTTTTGTTTGTCTCTCTCTCTCTTTCTC